GAGGAGCCAGGGAGCCCCCAAGGGTCTGCGGGCTGGAGAGGGGAAGATCCCAGGGAGCCTCGGGGACAGAGTGGGAGGGGACAGTCGCTTAGACGCCCCACCACCTCTGCTGCGGCCAGTGGGGCCCTGAGGCAGGGGTCACCCGTTCCATTCGCTCGAAGGGCAAGGAGGAGCGGATTCCTTCTGATGCCGCTCTGGGCCCACTCGGGGTACAGCCCCACGCCTCTGTCGCTGTCACCTCTCTAGCAGCTGTGACACAGAACTGGCGGCTGGGTGCACGGTTGGGGCTGCATTCCTAAAGCAAAGCAGATCCCAGCAGGCTATCCCCTCTAAAGAAGGCCTCTGTGGACAATGGTTGCACCCCGCAGCCGCCTTTGCTGGCACCTTGTACGTCAGCCTGTTAAAGGCCCTGAGAAGTCCTGCAGCAAAGACACACCTATATGCTGTTTAAACCAACACTTGCCAGGGTACGTGGCCACAGCCCGTTTGCACTTGACACATCCCGGGGAGCTCGAGGGCCGACTTCTTGGTCCTACCAGAACTGCCCTACAGGGCAGCGTGGTTCCTGCGTTTATTCTCCCGTGGGTGACGGCCGGGGGGCCCCGCTCACCTCTGACTTCAGGGCTCCCATACTCGGGCTCCCTGGGAGCCCTGCCACCACCTTCCCTCACTGCTCCCGTGCTGCGTTCCCCGCCCCAGGGACCCTACGATGTCTCTCCCAGCCCTTCCCCTGCAGCTGGCCCAAGCAGACACCCAGGTGCCTGCAGCCGGGGACGGGCAGCTCCTGTCCACCCTGCCGGGTGGAGCACAAGGGAGCTGTGTGTGTGGAGCCACTAGACTGCAGGCGCGGGGTTCCCCCACCCCTGCCAGCGCGGCCTCCCTGCGTGTATGCTACGGAGCGCAGGGGTCCCGGGAGGCGAAGGAGCAGCCGCCGACACGGCCGGGCGCTCTCGGGCTTCGACGTGTTAAGAACACAGCAGCTGCTGTAGAATGGTGACTCCTCCTTTTCAGAAAGTGCAGTGCTCCCTCCCCAGCACAGGAGTTTAAAGAGAGCCAGGAGGGGACCCCTGGGTGGCTCCGTCGGTTGAGCGTCCGACTTCGGCTCGGGTCATGATCTCATAGTTCGTGGGTTCGAGCCCCGCGTTGGGCTCTGTGCGGACAGCTCGGAGCCCGGAGCCTGCTTCCGATTCTGTGTCTCGTTTTCTCTCTGCCCCTCCCCTGCTTGCCCTCTGTCTCTCTCTCTCTCAAAAATAAATAAGTGTTGGGGCGCCTGGGTGGCGCAGTCGGTTGAGCGTCCGACTTCAGCCAGGTCACGATCTCGCGGTCCGGGAGTTCGAGCCCCGCGTCGGGCTCTGGGCTGATGGCTCAGAGCCTGGAGCCTGTTTCGGATTCTGTGTCTCCCTCTCTCTGCCCCTCCCCTGCTCGTTCTCCCTCTCTCTCTCTCCCTCCCAATCTCTCTCAAAAATGAATAAACGTTAGAAAAAATTTTTTTAATAAAATAAAGAGAGCCGGGAGGAAATAAATCAAAACGTTCAGGCTGCGGCTGTTGGATGCCCCTCGCTGACGGACTTAGGGAGACGTGAACCTTCGCCCCTACACTTCCGTGTCCACATGTGAAACCCACGTGAACGGAACCCACGCTAAGCGGGGCGGGAATGTGGGCCGGGGGCCCCACCTGTCAAAGATAGCGCCCACCCCGGCGCTGTGGGCGCTGTTCCGGTGGACGTGCAGCCCGGTGGCCAGGAGGATCCCGTCCTTCACGGCGATGGACCGGTGGGAGAAGGAGGCGATGAGCAGCTCGTTCCAGCCTGGGGGGAGGAGGGCTCAGGGTCACGCGGCTGGGTCCGGGCCCCGGGGCCACCCCTCCCCCCCACGGGGCTGCCATCCACAGGCGGCACGCTCTATCACAGGACCATCCCAAAGTGGGGTCCGGGGAACCCCTACATGAGCGTGCCACAGGAACGAGGTTCCCAAGCACCTATGTTTGGGAAATGCCTTTCTACGGTGCCAACTGGGGCAATAAAGGCCCTGAGAAGTCCTGCACACAGCACCCGATTTGGCTCTGTTTAACCAGGTGCTCCCAAACTCATGTGCCCAGAGAAGTCTCTTCCCACAAGGGTGCGCAAGCCACGGAGGATGTGGGGGACTCTCTCCGGGGCGACCCTGGAGCTGCTTCCGCGAACCTCGTCTCAGCAGCGAACTCTCGTGTTAACGTGTGCCACCTGGGGCACCACCAAATAGTACATTATCAAAGTGAAATAAGGCTGAGCCTCAGACAAACCGGACCCTCTCTTTACATGAGTTCCCAGCGCAGACAGACCAGAGCAGGTATCTCGGGTCAGGAAAAGGTACGGAAGAAAATGTTGAAATGGAAACAATTTCTGTGCTTGGTTCTCACTGACTCCTGTGGAACTGGGAAGCCCGGAGCCTCTTCCCCAAGGACAGCGAAATTCACAGCCACACTGCCAAGGGCTCGGAAGGCTCCGGGCTCCGTGGCAGACGGGATCACGTAGACCATCCCGTTCAATACTGACTACGATCCTACAACAAAACCAGGAGTAGCCCCGTTTTACAGAAGGGGAAACTGAGGCACAGCAGGGGTTACCCCACCACAGTGAGTCAGGTCAAGAACGTGGGCCTCTGCCCACCTTCCCCTGATGGCTCTGGGTGTTGGGTTTTATGCCCCAACTAGAGTGGGAGCTCTTGGAGAAGGCGCCCCTCCCCTCCCCGCCAGGCTGGGGGCAGAACTGGCCCCAAGAGCACCTGTCCTCCCCAGCCGGCCCTAGCCCTGACACCGTGGGATCACTCGGGAGTCACTCTGCTCTCCCTGATGCCCCGCGGGGCCTGCCTGGTCCCCCTCCTACCTCTGGGCCCGGCTGCCCTCTGCCATTCCCTCAGCGCCCAGCTGGGGGCACGGCCGGGGTCGGGGTACGGCCTCAGCCGGTGGACACAGCACCACCCAGCACGTTCAGGTAGCCAGGTGGGGCAGGAGGCTGGCGGGGGGTTGGGGTGCCCCTGCCAGCACCCTCTGAAGGAAGGCCCAGCATAGCTGGTTCCCCCGTCCCTGCTGTCCCTCTGGCAGGAACTTGCCCTGAGGACCCTAGTCTCACGGCAGAAACCGGCAGAAAACGGCACGCCCATCACGTGTCAGAACTGGGCCCGAGCCGAACCCCGGTGCCGACGCTCCCACCCACCTGCCGGCATCGCAACCGCCACCCAGAGAAGGAGCTGAGGCCTCGGTGTGGGGAGAGGGCAGGACACACACACAACCCCCTCACCGGGGCAGCCCGTGACAGTCACAGTCCCCTCACCCTCTCCAGAGGTCCCCAGACGGCGCTTTACCTCTCAGAAGGCCACTTAGAGACCCCCAAACCCAATACCTCCTTCGGGAGGGCGGAGCGAGGCCAGACGGGGCAGGGAGCCCCACGCTGCGGGAGGATGGGGCGTCCCAGGGTCTGGCCCAACCACGGGGCCCCAAGGCCCATGCCCTCTCCCCTCCGATGCCTTCCCCGGCCCCGACCAGACCGGCCACTTACCTGCCCTCAGCAGGATGACCTGGTCGTCCAGGGGCAGCTCTGAGAAGTGCGGGATCCGCTTGGCCCACTCGACCAGGGTAAAGAGCTGCTTGTCCGCCGCCTGGCAGATGTTGGTGACGGGGTCGTTGGGCTGGGCGGGGGGAGGGGCACACAGTGAGCGCCCTGCTGGGATCGAGGCCCGGACCAGGTCCCCCCACCCCCCCCGCGGCGCCCGCCCTGGGCTGAGGAAGGCCGCAAGACCGATGTGCGGACGGGCCACTTTACATCTCCCTTTGGGGGCATGCCCCGGTGGGCCGACGACGGAGGAGACCCGGGTCAGAGACGGGAACGGTGAGCAGGAGAGACGCTCGCTGGAGGACGCGAGCCAAGGACGCCTCCGGCACCCGCAAGGGCAAGGGGGTGTCCTCCCCAGCAGGACCCAGCCCTGCCACACCCGACCCCAGTCCGCAGACACGGATTTGGGACCGCAAGATACTAAAAACGCTGCCGTCTGAAGCACTCGGTGTGGGGCCCGGTGACCCTGTGGCGCAGTCGGGGAAAGAGAAAGGCAGGTGTGAAGCTGGAGCTGGGCCGGGGGGACCCGGGGGGCGGGGGACAGTGCCGGCCCCTCCGTGCCATTTCTTCCTCCCAGCTGGGAGACGGTATCCAGGTGCGGGCATCAGAGCCCCTTCTGCAAAGTTCCAGCCAGAAGGGACCCCTCCGCTCATCCTCACCGACGAGGAAACGCAGGCAGGCCTCCCAGGCTCCTGAGCGAGGGGGGGTGGGGGCAGAAATCCGTCGCTCCGGGACCCACGAGGGCCGGGGCCCCCTGGCAGGGGCAAAGGCTCCTCTGAGGAGCTTCCCCAGACGGCGGCCATCTGCCCTAAAGGGAGGCGCAGTCTCCACACCCGGGGTCCCGCGGGAGAGGCCTGCTGAGGGCTTGCACGGGAAGCCAGGTGACAAACTGTCACAGAGGCCACCAGGTGGGGAGGGGCTGGGTGAGCGGGGGGGGATGTGGGCTGTAGGAACAGGCGTCAGCCAGGGTTTCTGGGGCTCACGGGACCCCCAGCCCAGGGTGACGGCCCCCAGCACACCCCTATACTTGCCCTCACCCCAAAATCCCTCTGCTGCCCAGGGCTGGCCTGTGGGGGTGGGCGTTCCCTCCCGCGTTCCCTGCAGCAGATTCCGCATCGACCAGAAGCCAGGGGCCAGGCTCCGCTCAGGGCACATGTGTCCCCACGCAGCACCCCCATCATCCGCACTGGCACAGAGGCTGGCCTGCGTGGGGTCCCCAGCTCACGAGGGCGACACACCCAGTAGCTACCCTTGTCCGAGGCCACCCCTGCTGGGCTCTGCGCCTCCGGCCCCGTCAGGTGGAGAGGGGCCCGGGGAAGCCTTGTGGGGCAGGGGGGCACGTGGAGGAGCCTCAAAGCTCTTGGAGGAAGCCCAGGGAACCAGCCTCCCTGGCCACCGGCTGTTGGCCCCCTAGGAGCCCATGAGGGGCCCAGCGCAGCCCCTGAACCACTCCCGGGCAGTGGCCTCTGCACCTGGCCGCACAGGTCACGTGTCCCAAGAGATGACAGCAGCAGCCCCCCCCCCCCCCCCCCCCGCCCCAGGGCACGAAAGGTGCCACTCCAGAGTGAGCCACCCTCCTGCTGTCTGAGGGACGGGGCCTAATGAGTTGTCCGAAGGGGGGCCAGACCAACCCAGAGGAAGCTGTAACAAGGCCAGCCACAGGAAGGCAGGCTGGCGTCCCCCAATGCGGCCAGCCCTCGGCACGGCCCGAAGCTCCGGGCCGGTTCTGAGAGCAGGGGGAGCAGGCGGCAGCTGGTTGTTCCTAATAACGTCTGCACTCGACGGAAGAAAAACGTCAGAAGCCCCTGGTCTATCTCCCAATTTTGTCCCGGAGCTTCTGTCCCACCGTGAACCCCTCAAAGCCGCCCCCCCCCCCCCGCCATCCCGGGGCCCTGAGGGGTGGGCTCGGTCCACAAGCAGAGTGCCGGACGCCTGCCTTCGGGCCCCGCGTGCACCTGCTCCCCGGCTGGGCGCCAGAGCGGAGGCCCGACAGGGGCTGTGGCCCTGGGCACTGGGCGCCCCCGCGGGGGTCTGGGGAAGCCAGGTGGCCAGCCACGGTGGCCTCACAGTGCCGGGGCCTCGTGAGCACACGGGGCACGCGTAGCCGGGGTGAGGGCTGCGTGTGAGCACCCGCGGGCAGGCGGGGTCCCTGGCCGGGGCCGGAGAATTAACCCACCACGCACCCCGCGACCGGCTGCCGTGTGCCGGGGGCCGTGAAGGGAGCTCTGAGCCACGCCCTGGGGCCAGGCCCGCCTTCACAGGGCTGTGGAGGAAGGCCACAGGGGGCAAGGGCCCCAGGAAGAGAGACCCCTGAGCCCAGACAGACGCGAGAGGAGGAATCAGAGAGAGCTGCACGTGCAAGGGCCCTGGCGGTGCACGGGTGGACGAACAGGGCCCGTCCAGCACGGTGGAAGCCGCGGCGAGCCAGGCGGAGGATGGAGGGAGAGAGGCCAGTGCCACCTCAGGGCCACAGGCTCTGGGCCCAGCCCTGACCCCACATGGGGGCACATACGGGACCCCCGACACCCAGCTGAGCGCGGGCTGCAGGCCCCGTGGGGCAGGACAGCACGTGTGGGGTCCCGGGCGTCAGCACGGCCCACGACAGATGGGGCCTCTCGCCCACAACGCTCACCAGGGGCCAGCGGTCCCCAGGCAACGCCGGCCCCTGCGGTCCCGGTGGGGAGGGGGGGGACCACGTGGCCAGGGGTGGCGCTCACCGAGTTGGGGTTCAGCCCCATGTTCGCGTCCACGTACGTCTCGGTCTTGGGCTCGACGGCCAGCTCCGCCTCCAGAATCTTCTCCACCGGCATGTCCTCGTTGGCACTGCTGGTGGACTCCACCTCGTTCTCATTCCGGTCCTTGCCCCGCTGCCTCTCCTCCTGCACGGCTGCAGGGTGAGGGAGGCCATGGTCAGCCCGCGGCTCCCTGGGCAGCACCCCCCGCCCCCCAGACCAGGGGCCAAGCCGTGTCGGCCCCGAGCCAGCACGCCCGGCAGGGCCAGTGAGGGCCAGACCACGGCCCAGTCTCTGCCACACGCACTCACAGAGCACACCCGCCTCTCGTTAATTCGTCTGGCTAATTCCACATCAGGACCTGTCTGGGGCCAGGCATACACAGGCCAGGGCACATGGGGCCCAGCTCCCGTGCAGCTGACGGATGGTTCAGCAGGGAGCCTAACGTGCAGTGAGAAGGGTTTTGATGGGCTCAAAGGCAGGAAGGCTGCCCGGAAGAAGCGGCAAGGAAAGTAAAGAGGCACGAAAGACAAGGGTAATAGTTCAGGCATAGGAGGCAGCGTGTGCAAAGGCCCAGAGCCAGATCAGAGATACTCCTGATGAACGGGCCTCTCACACCAGCTGGAGAGCCGGAACAAGGGGTACACGGGAGCAGGGGCAAGTTCCTGTGCCACAGGAAAGGGACAGGACAGGACACACACCTCTGAAAGTCCCATCCAGCTGCAGAAAGAAAAGGGGGGCCCAGGGGAGACCAGGAGCCGGATGCCAACCCAGAGCATCAGCCAGGATGGCCTGGGTCAGCCCGGTAGGGAATGGGGCAGCCCTGGGGCTGGAGGGCTGAGCAGATGGGTGGACAGGGCATGGCCCAGTCCCTGGAAGCCCAGGGAGAGAAGCCGATGGAAGGAGGCAGAGAGGCGGGCATTCACTTGCACACTGCCCCAAGGAGACCCACGTGGACAGAAGGGAGGACACCAGGGCACCGTGCGGATGGGCGTTTACAGACCTCAGACTTCAGAGTCCATGAAGCTCAAACTGCCCTTCCCAAGAGAGGCCGGGACCCAGGGGTCAGGCTGTGGACCCCACCCAGAGCCGCACAAGCACCCAAGATGGCTCCTCGGGGCTGCCGCAGGCTCCTGGGGGACCCCCACCTCCACCCCTCCTCTCCGGTAAGAGAACTAAGGGCCCTGGACTGGGGCAAACGAGTCAGCCGAAGGGAAAAGTCACAGCCTGCAGCCCGGTGCGGGGCCAGAAGGGCTGTCCACACGGCACTGTTTCAGCCTGAGCCAGCTAGGAGTGTCGGGAATGCCCAGATGCCGTCACAGCAGCCTCCCCCAAGCCCACCCAAGCCCACCCAAGCCCACCCTCCTATGGTCCCCCTCCACCAGGCCCCTGGGGTGGCCTCGACCTCCTCAGGGCCGGCTCCTCGGCCCCCCCACCCCCAGACAAGGCCCTCGGTTTCCTGAAGACCCCATCACAGAGTGGGAGCTTGGTGAGGGGACTTCCAAGCAGGAAGACCTTTGTCCCCAGTAGCACGGAGACCTTTGTCCCCAGGCCCATCTAAGCTGAGAGGAAGGGCCTGGAAACAGCCCCTCGCCGCAGAGCCCAGAGGCAGGCCGACCCCTGGGAGGCCCCGAGGACCGAGAGAGCTGGACCCACCCCTTGCGGCCACATCCAAGCCCAGAGGGCTCCCAGTAAGAGGCAGAAGATAACCCTGGGCTGGGGGAGCCCCACATGCCAGGCCCAGGTCCCCCACAGCACCCCAGGGGTACAGGCAGCTCACTCCCTTACTAGAAACCCGAGGGCTTTGAGACCTGGGCCGGTGCTCGTGGCACACAGTCCTCGGACTCAGCCCCTCGCAGCCCCCATGACTGCACCCGGCAGGCCACTCTGCCGAGCCAAGTGCCCAACAAACCTCATGAGCCCCTCAGAACCCTCACCTGGATGGATGCCCACACCACCCGACTCCGAGCAGCTCGCCTCACCATCCCGCTCCTGGATCGCAGGACCCGGACCCCCACCGTCCCGCTCCTAGATCACACCCTGAGCTGCAGCACCAGAGGCCCTGGCGAACGGCCAGCTCCTGGGGGGCCCGTGGGTAGAGCACGAAGATAAAATACAGTGACGTTTGCAAGGAGCCGAACCTGCAGCCCCCAGGTCACGCTCCTGCAGAGGAGGCAGCTGAGGTCAGCTGACTCCAACCGCTGCAGGCCCTCTGGACCACTGCCCAGCTTCCGGCCAGCCCTGGAGGTGGGGGCTCAGCCAGGGGGCCTCACGGCCCTCCCGAGGATGCTGGCCACACCCTCCTCCTCCAGCGGGCCTTTCCTTGGGCCATCCGGGTCTCCCACTCCCCACTGCTGACCAGTCCCTGATTTATATTCCCAAAGCCAGCTCAGAGCCCCTGCCCTGCAGACCTCAGCCTGGCATCCTGCCCTCACACCCTCATACTCTCAGGGCACTGCGCTCAGTGCCCTCTTTCCTGGTCCAACGTCCTGGGGCAGTGTCTTCTGGAGAGCAGAAGGTGCAGCCTGGCCTGGGGCTTCCTGAGTCAATGGCCCCCTGGGCCTCAGATGGGCTCATTCTCCCCTTCAGGACATCTCTGTGGGGCACAGCACGTCCCCGAGTCTCACAGATGCCAGCTGTCACGAGACCACCTCCTTGAACCTCCAGAGCCCACCCCCCTGCCTGGCTCTGAGGGCCCGAACTCGGGCTGCCTTACCAAGTCCTCTCCCCTTTGGTTTCCTGATGGGTTTGGCAAATGCCACAGACGGGCAGGAGAGGGGAGGGCGGGAAGAGGCGTCCGTGGCTCTGGTGCCTCCCCGCCCAGCCTCGGCTCTCACCTGCCACCTCCTCCCAAGGCCATGGCTCCTGGGGATCAGCCCTCCCCCGGGGATCCGTGAGCCCTCGTTCCTCTCTCGCCGCTCCAGCCCAGGGGGCATGAGGGCTCCCTGACGGTCCCACGGGCCTGCCTGGTTCCCGGAGCACAGCCCACAGTTCCCTGACAGCCCAAACGGACACCTCTCTACCACCCCGCGGGGCTCCCTGAGGGCAGGCAATGTCTGCCACGCTGGCGGGTGGCTATTTAGAGCCAACCCCGAGCCAGAGGCTATACTCTCTGAGACCCAGAGCACGGAAGAGGGCCTTTGCACTCACAGAGTGCGACTCAAGGACGGGGGCCAGCTCAGCACCTGCAAATCACAGCAGCTGGGCCGAGGAGCCAGGCAGGAAGCCCAAGTCAGAGTTTCTGCAAGGCTGGCGCTTCCCAAAGGCCGACAGCAGGTGGGGGCTGCGGGGGGAGCTCCAGCTGGCGGGCAGGTGGCGAGGAGGCACGGTCGTGCTCCGGGCCCTCTCCAGCCAGGCTTCCAGACCCCAACATGTGGCAGGTGCCGGGCACCTCCTCGTGGTCACCCTGCTGCCACCGTGCACGGACTGATGCAGCCAGCAGCTGGGGTGACGGACACAGAGTCCAGGCAGGCCCGTGTCCCCGAGACCCTGAGCGGGG